CGCCCTCCCCGCTGCGGGGGAGCCCGGCCGCGCCGGGCCGAGTGGGGCGCTGCTGCCGCTCCTCAGCGGCCCTGCGCGGCCGCCGCCTCCCGCGGCAGGAAGTGGGTCTCATCGGCAGAGGCTCCCGGGAAGGCGCCCCGAGGCCCTGCGTGCTGCTGGCTGCCTGAGGGGTCTCCCCGAACCGTTTCGTGTAGGGCAGTAAAAAGGGGCGTTTGCTCGCTTCGTTTTTACCGGTTCCTTGGCAGCGTTTCCTCTTGGGTTTGCAGGGCGATTTAGCTCATCTCTGAGGCATCCTCCTGCTCCCCCTTCCTACGGCTGCCACATTAGTAGCCGAAGTTAAGGGAAGCCGGGTGTCTCTTTAGACTAATTTCTAATTCATGTTTTCCGTATTTATTCTTGTGGTGTTTTCTTTCCTTTGTCTCCTGTATTCACGATTCCCGTACCATCCCCCTTGTCCTCCTTGTGATCGCCCTGACTGCGCCAACCGTGCTGCCTTTCTGCAGCTTAGAATCTTACTCCCGTCAAAGTGATCTAGTCTGTATTTCTTCATTTCTCAGCCGTTTCCAGCCCTAAATTTCTTAAGCTTTGTGTGTAACTGAATGAGACCTAGAAGGTGAAAGCTAGTCTTAAGAGCCAGCTGCTCTGTACTATCTTTTATTCACATTTCCATCTCACAAATAACAAGATCTGTCAGGAAGGCCAAATCTGAACTGGTTTTAGTGACATGCTTTTGAGCTTTAAGTACCAGGATATAGGTACACTTGGACCAGAATTTGGAAATCGGTTTTTTTTTTTTTTTCCTTTTGGACATCTGCTAATTTTTGCTGCCTACCTGCTCTTTTGCTTTTGTCACTTCAAATTCAGTTTCATGGAGCCTTTTCTCATCTTCATGCAGAACAGGGTTATGAGTCTTAGCTTCTCCAGACTCTTTGTGGATGCTGAATGAGGCCAAAACTGCTTCATTCTGCAGGCAGGTCTGTACTATGCTGTGTCTAGGTGGAGACTGGAGTAGATTTTAATTTGCAGCAGCAAGCCCCTGATCTTGAGGAACTCCGTGTGCAGCTTATTTGAGCCAGGCCTTCTCCACAGTAGGGCCAAGTGGGAGCTGCCTTCACAGGAGCAGTGCCAGCTGAAAATTCCCCTGCTTCCAGCACTGTTGACCCTTCCAGCAGCACAAGCAAACCAGAACACAGACAAGTATGTTTCCCAGTAAACACACAAGTCAATTGCTCTTGCCTAAAACAGAAGTGCAAGCATGGAACCACTTCTGAAATGCACAGAAATTCACTTTGCTCATGCTGATGTAAATTTCTAGTGAAATTGGTTTCCAATAAAGAGAAGTAAATATGACTCAGAAACAAACTTTCTGTTTATACAGACTAAACATGATTACCAAGGTGTTTTTGCATGTTTTCAAGATGTGGGATAGCTACCTTACACTTGCAAAACTTGTGGGATTTTTAATAACACAGAGAAAGCAGACACTCAAGCTTTGAACTTTCTGGTAATGCAAAGATACCCCTTAGAGATCTCCTTTAAAGCTCAGGACCTACCAGTTCATGCTAGACCTACCAGTTCTCCTGATCTTTGAATGCTAACTAGATGATAGATGTTTTGTTTTATCATGTTCAATTTGAGGGCTATTTTGGGTACGTAGTAACATTAGAAATAATAGTGTGCAAGTTTATTATGTGCATGATTTGTGAAACAAGTTTTTGAGGCAGCACAGTAACGAGTGCAGCACGTCCATTTATTGCAGCACACCCAAGTAAATGCTGCTCCACCTAAGAAGTACTGAGAGAAGGTGGGTTGGAAGTTTATACAGCTGTGTTTTTATACATTAAAAATACCAGTAAAATATGTTTGTTTTACTTGATACATATTCATGTCTGCTGTTGATACTTCTGTTATTACAGGAAAAGTAATTTTGGCAAATAAAGGCAGAAACTAAAAAAATGAGCGGTTAGGATGAGTCACCCAAGAAATAAGGGGTCAACACTGATTGCAGTGTAATTAGAGTATTTTAGGGTTTTCCACTTGTAATGGGGAGAATAATGAATTGTTAAGAGGGAAGATTTTGTGACAGTAGAACACTTGATATGCATTTGGCCTTTGGATCTGCCACTACCTCATGACCTCGGATGAAGATTTTCACATCTGCAAAAGACAGTGCAGAAGGAAGACAGAGTGACAGTCTTAAGTTTGAAATGTAGGCACTGGTTTTGATTGATTTATCCCATGGGTCTGGTTTTATAACTATAGCTATTGATTTGTTTTATTATTTAGTGGATTATGTAGCAATCAATCATATTTCCATCTAGCTAACCATGATTATTAATATTTTAAACTAGTTTTAAGATGGATTGGCTGGTGAGTGCAATAGGTCTTCTCTCTAATCCAGCAAGAATGGAATACACCCAGGTTACATGGAATGAATTATTGCCACTGGACAATCTGATGAAATCTACATCAGCCATTAGAATATAAATCCAGCAGTAGGAATACAGTGCTGTCAGGGGACTGAGATTTCCTGCTTTGAAAATGAACACTTTGGCTTTACCTCTACATTTCTTCAACAAAAGTATGTAGTTATTCTGTGACAGTAAAAGTATGGGAGTTAAATTAGTGGAGTTCACCTGACGGTAGATGGAAACCCTACAAAAACATATGCATTTTTAACACAATATATGTGGAAAGCAGTTACCTCCCTGCCAAGAGGCAAGCTCAGGATTCTGTGTCACTGC